CGCCTGGGCTCCGCTCCGCTTGAGTGACGTGTGCGTCAGCCAATCAGAGCGCAGCGTGCGGAGCCGCGGCAGGTCGGGCTGAGCTGAGGTTAGATTGTGCGCAGTATTATCCGCCTGTCCTCTCACCGTGACAAGATCCACTCGGAGAACAGGTGCGCGGCGAGATGCGTGTCTTCGGCGAGCGGCGGCGCATATCCGTTTAAACACGAACGTGGACCTTTCATGGAGACTCCTGGCGTCGACCGGCGGAGCTTCACTGCGGCTCGGCTGTAGACACGAACCCGAACGAAGGAGTCCAAAAAACAGGTACCATGAGAGGCTGCGCTGGACGGACACTGTCACACGGCGGACTCCTCTGCGCCGAGATGGACTCGAACTTAGGTGTCGTTTTGAGGCGTTCCGTTTAATTGTAGCCCGCTAATTGCAGCCGTGCGTTCGGTCATGTCGTCCACGTTCAACACGTTGCCCGAGAGCGAGGCTGGAGCCGGTCACTGGTTCTCCACAGCCACGGCTTAGGTGAGCATTTTGTGTTGCGTGCAATGGATAGAGAGAGAGAGAGAGAGAGAGAGGGGAAAAAAATAATAATGTCACGGTGCTGTCACATCACAAAACATGAGATGGATGGTCAGTAGTTTCTGTTACGCACAATCCAAGCTGCCATGTGTTGTGTTTTGCATTAGCTGCTCTCATCCATGCAACAATTAGTAGAATAATCTATAAGAGTGTGTGTCCACATAGGCCTGATGTGCATTCACACGCATGGCAGATGCAAATTTAGATAATCCTTTCTCTATGTTGCGTTGCTCAGCCTTTAAAAGCTTTAGTGGGCTTTCTAGTATCAGATTCTAGTATGTGCCAATATGCCAAACTTGAGTATTCATCGTTTCATATTATCCACTCCTGCCAGCTTGACAGTTTTCCCACACTTGATACCACCACACACAATCTCCTCCAGCACTTAAAAAGTATTGATCTTTACTTTCTGGTCCCCCTCCCCCCAAAAAAATTTCAATTCAAATGACCGAGCACCTTTTAGAGCCAAACACTTCTGAAACCCCTGCGAGTCCCTCAGTGGTCAGCAGCAGATGGCTTTCATTGGCTGCCTCCGAGGGAAATTTATGAATGCGGAGGAGGAAAAACAAGCATGCAAACACTATCTGATCACTTTTCTGTGTTGTGCTTCTTCTCCCGTGTTGCTGTCATGCTTCCATTGTGGAGTGCTGATGTGAGGCGTGTCCAATTATACGACTGTGGGACTGGGTTTGTTCAACAGCCCTTTCATCTGCATACAGTGGAAGCGCTCCCGTCGACTGAATGAGGAATTTAACTCGCAGCACTGCACCAGACGTTTCACCACAAACAAAAGAGGGGATGCTAACAACACAATTAACTGTCACTTGAGAAAGCGGCTAATAAAATAATGCCTGGCGGTTTACACTTGTTAAACAAAAAGTGTGGAGTAAGTGGCCCGGAAAGACTGAAGAGATGTATTTCCAGAGCTGCAGACAGGAAATATTCATTTGTGCAGATGGTTGGACTAATTGAGTCAGACTTCTTCGGACAAGACTTGAGCAAGCTGCTGGTAGTGTGATTGGTGGTATCGTACCCAAACGTGTTTGCCACAGATGCACCAAAGCAGATGGTTAGCGATGCAAACAGACATCATGATGAGGCACAATCATCCTTCATGTGTCTGCAGTGTGAGCCGAGGTGATATGCTACATGCAGACTTTTGCTGACACCATTTTTGCTGATGACGCTCGTTATGTGGAAGTCTTAAGTAAGCATCCATCCGCTCGGGTTTAGAAGTCCGCGAGTGGTGTTTGGATCCGGTCTGTCTGAAATCATCCCACCGCACTGTGATCGGAGTCTTGATGCAGCTGGACAGTGGCTGCCTTGTTTTTGAATGAGATAAGAGTTAGCCCAGGGCAGCGGTGTCAGCCTCTGTGATGGACACTTAGACAGCGAGTGGAGAGGACAATATGTGTGTGTGTGTGCGTGGAGTGCACACTCATTACCATGCTGCAAGTTCAAGATAAGGAAATCTGTCAGATTCACTGCGGGAGATGCTGCAGGCGTTTTCGAGTAGTTTCTAAAAGTACCTAAATTATAGCTACATGCATTTGCAATTAAATGCACCCTCTAAGTACACGAATCAGTCTTTAGTATGTGTCCATATTTGAACATGTGCAGTTGGCTTTAATATCTGTAATGCACCGTAACAGCAGCAGCAGATGATTAATCCCTATTTTCCTACATTGTGTGATATAAAAGCAGTTTGATACGCAATGTTTATTGTCGCCTGTGTTCCTGTTTTGAATGACTGCTTTGTATTTTGTGTGTGTGTTTGATTCAGTGTATTTGATTGGCTGAAAGCATCTCTCCATCATTCCATTTCCATTGTGATTATACTTTCATAAGCTTTTTTTCGGTCAACAAAAACCTGTAATTTCAGTCAAGTAGAAATCCTGTTTGACAGAAAATGATGTTGTTTTTCATCAGAAATGTTGCGAGGCATACATTCCATGCCAATGAGATATTTAACCCCCACAAATTGCCTCTGGTATTAACGCTTCCCAGATGGTCTTAGCAGCACTGCGGATGAAGTGGGAGAAGACTGTAAAAGGGGGAAATGAGCATTCAATCATCCTTTCAGATGGAAGCATGTGAAGGGTTTGTGGTCAGTTTGTTGTGGGCGAGACCTCCGATGGACCGTCCTTCTCATTAACGTCTGATTTAAATAAATAAATAAATTGGGGAAACATGCTTTTGTGTTTGTTTTAGAGCTTAAATGACAGAATGCCAGGGCTGATATATGGGTCAGATTGTTTTATGTACTATATATGTTTATTGGGGGGCTGCAAGGTGGCTCGGTGGTTAGCATCGTTGCCTCGCAGCAAGAAGGTCGCTGGTTTGCGTCCAGATGTGAACACCCAAGATCTTTCTGCGTGGAGTTTGCATGTTCTCCCCGTGCAGCGTGGGTTCTCTCCAGGTTCTCCCGCTTCCTCCCCCATGTCCAAAAACATGTTGAGGTTAATTGGTGATTCTAAATTGTCTGTAGGTGTGAATGTGAGTGTGCTTGGTTGTCTGTCTCTAAGCGTGGCCCTGTGATAGACTGGTGACTTGTCCAGGCGACTCTAGCGAGGATTAAGCGGTGTATAGATAATGGATGGATGGATATATTTATTGGAAGAAATGTGAGTTGGTAATTAATTGCAGATACAGTTGTACGAATATGTGTTTAATGCAGTTATTTATCTCGAGATCACTGACGGTTAAATTTGTCCTGCTCACAACATGTCTTGGATACACCAATCTCATCAAAGATGAAAATGCAACTGTTTAAACTGTGGATCTGTGACATCAGGCCAGTTTAAGATTGGTAATTATCTTCTGTAATTCCACCAATACAAGATTTTTGTCACTAATTCCATTATAGATGTTTAGAAGATTGAAACACTGAATAAACGGGCTGCTACTTTATTTTTCTTAACATACAGGGTTATGGTGGTATGGGTCCCTGTCATCTCTGGTGGACAAACACTGTAGTGGTGACACTAAATGGTCTCAAACCTGGATTAAAAAAATCAGCACTCGAGTTTTTTTCTTTACTAATAATCAAGCATCATCCAGTAAAATTGATGTGGTTGCTTTTTCTGAAAAACAGACTTAATGGATCTCTGTCAGAAATGTGTTTTTGGGCATTTTAACGCCTGCAGCAGACAGGGCAGTGAGATGAGAGGAAATGCGTCAAAGATCACAGGCTGGACTCTTTCCAGCTCATGTGTTGTGGTTTATGCTTCAAAATCCTATAGAGCTTGGGACAGAGTTTTTTAAAAAAAAAAGTATTTATTTGCTTATTTCTTTTCAGTGTTTCTTTCCCAGAATGCAATATGTTGTCACAAATACATGTCAGCTGACTTCGAGATTCTATGAATTCCATGAATTTTAACACCTTTGAATATGCTCACGGGCATTATGCATAAAATCATACGAATTACACAAAGAAGATAAAACAGACACATGTGGTAACTGTTTAGTCTGGTGGTCTGCTTCAGCCATCAGCAGATTGTGTTTGCTGTAAAGTTGCAAAGCAGAATTTCAGCGCTCACCAGACTTGGAATTGGATTTAAGACGTGCAAACATTGTCATCTGTGGCAGATTCTCCATATGATATAGATTCCTCTGTTGGAGTTTCAATTTCAAATGTTCCTTTGTGTCGTACACACCAGACGCTGCCACCTTCATGTCTCACCCACAGACCATTCAGTTTGTGGATTCTTTGTTTTTTTGCTAATAATGCTGCTGATCATTGCTTTGTGTCGGTGTTTTACATACTTTGCTGCCATTTGTAGATCCAGTGGATTTTCTCTGTTATTTTCCCCCTTGGATGATGCAAAAGTCCACCATAGTGGTTGGCATGTACGACGACTCCAAACACAAACGTAGTTCTTCCATTGACATACACAAATGCAGATCCTTTACTTTGTTATGTTCAACACAATTAATCTGTTTTATCTCGTTGTCAGTACATTTTATCTTGCCTATATGTGTCTAATTTTGTGTAATATAACAAAAAAGTACAACAAAGAAATGACAAAATGATGAGTAATCCCTGATTGTGTAGAGAAGTGAAGCCTGAAAAAGTGATGACAAATCACAGCTACAAGAAACACATATTGATCCACTTTGAGTGTCAAAGACTTCCTGACATTGCCGTTGAAAAGTTCATTTGTTTTCGATGATTATATTATAAGTAGTATCTCGATTCTCAGCAGGAAGGCTGTTTTATGTTGTTATTAGATATTCCATCTTCTTATTTTCGTTTTTTTTCTCCCTCCTGAAGGATGATGCCCCCTGGTCACACCCGCCTGGTCTCACCCCTGCTTCCTCGCCCCGTTTCCACAGTTCAAACGCCTCACCCGCAGCAGCCTGAGCGCTCCTGAGCTCTCCCTGCCAACCTCCTCGTTCGGCTGCCTGGCTGACATCCCAGAGAGGTGATGCGGCGGTTCGTCTACTGCAAGGTGGTGTTGACCACGTCTTTGGTGTGGGTGCTGGTGGATGTGTTCCTGCTGCTGTACTTCAGCGAGTGTAACAAATGCGATGATAGAAAGGACCGCTCGCTGCTCCCTGCCCTCCGAGGTGAGTCCACAATAGCGCTACTGCTGCACCTTTCGTTTACAGAACAGATTTGACGAGACCTCGAGTTTCGCAGGCGATGGACGAAGCCACAGGCGGGTTTGATTGATACAAGTCTGGCTTTCACATGTGTTGTCCGTCTGTTGGTACCTGTGCCATGTTTGTCAGGTTTCAGACTTTGCTATTGAAACATTCTGTTGGCTGCTTTAGAAGGATATCAAGGGGACAACACACTGCAGCAGTGAATTTTAAGTCTTCACAGAGGGAGGTAAAATCTTCATTTAAGGGATTTAGCAGTAATTTTAGAGGCGTGATCGAGGAAAGAAAATCAAATCTTGCTGAAGAAAAGCTTTTTATAAATCTTTAATGCGTTTTTTATTTATTTTATTAAACTATAAACACATTTGAGTTTGTGCACTTAAAAGAGAAACTCTGGATTATCTAAAATCAAGCTTCGGGACGAAGTGTGAGGTTTTGTCAATGACACCACGAATGACATTTCTGTACATTCGCCACAGAAAACTACCACATCCTCGACAAGTGTTGGAGTGCTGTCTGTTTTTCTATAGTCAACACCGCTCGCTTGTCTAATTTTCCATGGTAGCAATATCCTTGTGTTTGTGTGCGGCTATAAGTGCAGAGTGATTCTGAGAGAGTTTTTTTTTTTTTCTTTCCCTGCATTGCCACAAAATGAAAAAGTCATTTTGACAGAAATAAATGGAGGCATGAAGTTCACTGTAATGGAAAAAACACACACATCATGTTTGTAGTTTCTGCAAATAGATTTTAATATAGTGTCGAAATGTACCGCGACCCAGAGCACTCAGAGGCCGGCACTCTGGAAGAAGAAAGTAGGATAGACATGTTTTAGCTTTTAGGAATCATGATTCCTTTCATATAATAATCACTGACTTGATCAAAATAAATACACAGAAAAGTCAAATCAATAATTGCTTATTGCCAAGCAGTGAGTCTGGAGTGGGTTTTGCGAACCATCTTCAGAAAAGAGCTTTGAATTTGATAATTCTGTTTTATATGCAAGGCGACAGTTAACTGAGAATTTCCGTTTTTGTTTTGGGTGATGTTGTGGGACTGACCCGTGGTTTAGCATTAGGGAAATTTCACGCTTGAGTATATAAGCTGTAGACTTAAAATAGAGATATATACTTCATTCACCCTCTTGGAGAAGGTATCCAGTAGTTAATGTCAATACAATACAACGCCCCGTCATTTCACCTCAGCATAGCACAATCAGCACAAACCACAAGTTTATACACAAAAATATGTGAAAACTAATGTAAAAAGGCAAGATTTGTATTTAAAGATCTAAAAAAAAGTCTAATTTGCTGTTGTGATACATAGAGTTTACTGGATTCTAAAATAGTGACGCGTTATCTCTGACTTTAATGTCAAACGGAGCCGACAAAGATATGATTATTTACCTTTTTAGGTTTAAAATCATGTCTGCGTGAGCGTGTGTGTGTGTGTCAGTGTGCTCCTGAGATCAATGCAAAACAGTCCGTCTTTAGCAGAGTTCATTTCCTCACATGCCCTCAAGTAAGCAGGTTTCTAAGAGGCTTACTAATCTGCTTTTAAGGTTAGAAAGAGGCAGAGCTGCCAGCTACTCTGGCTGATTACCATACAACCGTCTAATGTTACATCGGAGTTACTGTGCTCATAAGATAGGTTACATCTGAGGATTTGCTAAATATACGAACTGTGTTTTAAGATTATTTTCAGACAGGCTGGTTTCGCTGCAGCTATTTTAGGTTTTAACCTGGTTCAGTGTGTTATTATTATTCAGCCAGCCCTTAAGTGACACGGCTTCACGTGTCCGCAATCAATTTGTTCTTTAATTAGATCCCCGTTAGATTCCACAAAGTGGTCGCTTGTTGTCCCCTGGGCCCGCATAAAAGTACCAACAATGAAATCTCATTGATCAGAAAACAAAAGAAGCCAGATATAAAGATCAGAAAATGGGCAAAATAACTCGACTCATGATGAAACTTGTTATGAATTAATGCGTGAATATGATATTTGCATTACTTTAATGTTAGTAGTAGGTTAAAAGCAGTTAAATGTCACTAAAGTTTGAAATTTGATTACTTACAGGTGTGTTCGTGTTTTTTTTTTGAGAACTGGGGAACAAAAAATGGAAACAAGACGACAGATTTACGACTTAAAAAATATTCTTACCGTCCAAATTTTAAATGGCTGACCTGTTAGTAAACCATTCACCAGCCATGCCTCTGACAACGATTAGTGCCCACGCAATATTTACTCTGATTTTAGCTCTTGTTTGGTCTCCATGAATGCCTGAGAGGAAACAGAAGGTCTCAGCTTCGACCAGATGTACCACATTGTTAAACAGTAACTTTGTCAGCTTTCTCCTGGGTTCCCCTGCCTTCAGGCTGTCCCCAGTGGCTCAGATTTAGAGAGAGAGAATGAAATCAAAACAAGAAGCTAGAATAGGCTGACATGACATGAGTGCTTGTGGTGAGTTTCTCTACCCAGTTGCATCCATCGTGGATGAGGGGTCAGTGATCCTACATGGCCCAGGTGGATAATGACCCTTAAATTCCTGATTAGAGAAGGTACACTTAGTCTGACGTCAGTGCTTTCCAATTTAACCATCATGAACTTTATGGCTAGAGGCTGCTGTGTTTTTTTTTGTTTATGTAAGACTTTATGTTTGCCTGACGTGCTGAGGTAACGTTGTTTGAAGGATGCTGCAGAGGCTCATGTAGTCACAGGTAAACACCTCCATTCGTCTGCCTCTTCACATTCTAGCTGCATATTTGCTGGCCGTAAGCGGAACATATGCATTGATAATCTCCCTAGTACGAGAAAAGCCCCCCAAAGCCGACATAACTCACTCGTGTGTTTTCATTAATGAACCCTTGGCAGTTTGTATACGAGGCTTTCAGTTAAACATTTCCCAGTTCCAGCCTAAGACGACCCTGATGTCGTTACCTGGGTTATTTCCTCAGCCATTAGAAAGTTCTCCGTGGACCCACACAGAAGTTATGATGCAACAGCTTTCACAGGCCGAGTAGCGCTCCTCGTGAGCGAACTAAGCCTCGTGTAAAATCAGCGGAACGTACCTCGTAGCGCTGCCGTTTGTTTTTCTGGCTGAATGAACCATCTGTTTCACCGGACTGGGTCTTGGTGCTGATCCACCCTGATATGGCTGCAGCACAGCGTCTGATGATACGAGTCGTTCATCCAGTGTAACTGTCGGCAGTTTTTCCATTTATGAAGTGAAAAGCGTGGCTGAGCAACTTTGTTATTATGAAACTTACTTCCTCTAAGAGACGACTGGAGTTCTGTAGGTAAAATAAATCTGCCATAATAACCCAATCTGAAAGTAATATGTGATTGTTTAAGTGGAAGCTGACAACATCTAATGGTTTAGCTCATCTGTATTTAAGAATAAAATGCTCCATAAGTTTATAACTTAGTTTAATAGTTGCTGAATTCATGAAGATTCAAACATTTTCTTTATGTTCAACATGATTAAGTAAAGTACCCAGTTTGTGTTTACAGCCTGACAGATGCACCACACTGAAGAAAAAATGGATTGTTGTTTTTATGTGGTATCTGCAGTATTAGTCACACAAAGAGGCTGAGAATCACAAGGCAACGCTGTGTGCCACATGTGATGTTTTGGATATGTAGTGCTGTAAATGACTACCTGTTTCCTGTGTGCTGCGCTCCTTCTCTCTCTTTGTCTCTCATTGCAGTTTAAGTAAAATCCTGAAATTAAACAAATGTACAGAGTTTTCTTCTTCTTTTTTTTTTTTTACCCCTAATATGTTAAACTCTGGGATTTTAGCTTACTTTGCAGTTTTACTCTCCACGAGGCACTGAACCATAACCATTAAAGTACAGTCGTGACTCGATAATCCGACACAACCTTCTTTTATGTCGGATAGCAAGGTCGAGATACAAGGAGGGCTTGATGCTTGAAGGGTCATTTGTTGTTAGTTATTGTTCATAGGTGTTATAATAACTAGTAGGGCTGATCTGAATAACACTATGGTCTGGTCTCTGGATATTCAGGCCCAATTAATGATGAATATCTGAATATTCGGAGCGGTCAGGGATCACTTCCACACCGGGGGAGCACTCCGACGGGGTGGAAGTGGCCAGAACGCACAGGCAGTACTTGGCTGCTGATGCTAGTTTAGGATGGCGGTCACACTTCTGTTTCCACCATCAGTGGCGGCAGGGGAGTGACAGATACGCTCCACCGTTACCATCCATGTTTACTTCCGTAAACACTGAGCACGCTCACTGTGTGTGACGTCGTCATGTCCTCTTCTACGCATGTGGGACACTTTTGGGTCGTATGAAGTTTACGCAGCAGATCACATACAAGTCGCATTTAACTGGAAATGTGAAGGAACTCACAAAAAAAATCTGATTTCACAAAAGCATCGAGCATTAAGTCCTGCAGTCTGAACGTAGCCAATCTGTCGGATTGTTCAGTCAGATAATACGCCGTTATCCTGATTTGTGACATGAAATGTCATGTCGGAGTCGGAATCCAAGGCTGTCTGTATGTTCAGGCTACTTTTAATGGGTTCTGTTGGTTTTTCCTAAAAACCTGTTGGATATCAAGGTTTTCAGATTGTTAGGGGTCAGATTATCGAATCACGACTGTAACTGATGACCAGGAGATAATATTGATAAAAGTGAGCTCAAAATGACACTGACATTCATGACGTCTATTATTTATAGCAGGAATTACAGACAATAATCAGTCTTTAGTTCCAGCGCCTCTGTCCATTTGTAGAACAGATGGCTGCAGTTTAATAGCATTCTGATTTAAATGTGAGACCACATGGTTGAATCATTGTTGTAACGACACAAGGGATTGAGGTGAAGAGATCTCTGCTAAGACACCATCATAATTATCACTGAATTATCTCATTCGTTTTTCTCCACAAACAGAAGAAGCTCAGCACGTTGTGGGCTTTCATACATCTGCAGCATTACAT